TTTTGCTTTGAAACGCCTCTCGGCGAAACTGTCGTTCAGAGGCGTCGTGATTAGCGCGCAGCTTTCCGCCGTTTTGTTATCTAAAGAATACTCTTTTGAAGTTGTGGCTAAAAGATGAAAAAAGGGGTTGTATAATATCCCCGCCTCTGTCCCGCAGATGCATACTCCCTCCCGGTGATGCTGGCCGATACGTTTCGCTTCCTGCTGCAAATAAAATACCCGGTTGATCCAAATCTGCTGTGGCAGCCGCTACAAGGGCTTTTTAATTGAATGATTATTGTATTAAATAGTTGCTTTTTAATGGAGCATGTACCCCGAGCGATTACTTCCACTTAAAGACACTGAACCTCAGCAGGTCTCCCAAACCAGCGGGCCCGGCCTGCTAACCGCAGCGGTGCCTCCGGGGCGGCTTAATGCGGCCGCCATCAGCGCTGCCTCCCCCTGCCTGACCCTCCCGAGCGTGCCGATGTCCCAGAATGCATCTCTCCGGGCCCTGTCGGCTCTGAGAAGTGTCCCCGGCGAGAACATCAGAGAGATTGTTTGTGTGCGGTAGATAGGGAGTCCCAGCACCGGGCCTTAATCGCACTCCCCCTAACCTCCCCGTCTCTGTCTTCTCACTCATCGTTAATCAGATAAATAAGCCTTCATCGCCCCCTAATCAGATAAGGGGAGATCAATGAGCAGTCTGTAATCGCCTTTTCGGGCCGGTGGAGAGGCCGGGGCGAGTGCCGGACTGCGGTATGCCTGTCCAGCCTCCCGCCCCCAAAGCTCCGGCCATGTTCCTGGTTTCAGAGCTCAAATGAGACTGCTTGCATCTCATTCAGGGCATAATAACATTACATTACTGGCATTTAGGAGACACTCTTATCTCAAGCGACTTACATAGGGTACAGTTTTTACATGTTATCCATTTATACAGCTGGATATTTACTGAGGCAATTCTGGGTTAAGTACCTTGCCCAAGGGTACAAGGGCAGTGCCCTGGTGGGGAGTCGAGCTGGCAACCTTTCGGTTACGAGTCCTGCTCCTTACCACTGTGCCACACTGCCTGCAAACCTCACATTTTGGACAGGGTCCATTCAGAGAGCTGGATGTTTTGCTGACCCACAGACTCAAACCTGCTTCCAGGCCTCTGGGCAGTGAGCTCAGACTGAGTGCCCGCAGTCTGTGCATGTGAAATGCCCTGTGCTGGGTGGTGGTGTTATCTGCAGGTTGCCCTGGTGACAGCAGGGTGGGGGCGGGCAGGACGCGGGCATGAGAGAGGGTGGGTTTACGCTGGGGCTGGGGCGTGCGGGTGACTGGCTACCCCCCCCACCCCGGGCACCGCGCGCACAACGCCCACGAGCGTCAGCCGAACGCAGGCCTCGCACGTCCCCGCATGGGCGCTTGGGCGGAACGCGGGGGCGTGTTCCTCACCTCAACGGGCCGCTAAACTCGCCGGAGCTGCGGGGACGGGCCTCGGGCGGCGATGACGGCGGCTGGCTGCGAAGTTGTCCACGTTCATCTGACTCCCCCGCTGCGGCGAGTGGCACAGCGTCACATGACCGGGAGCGCGTGGCAGTCCGGAATGATCCGGGTCTGCGTGTCGGAGAGTGTTTCCTCTCACGCGCGTGTCAGAGATGTATGTAATGCAGGGGGAAGTTATTGATGGGGCACAAGTGCTTCCCTGATCTTTCCGCGCCGCAACGTCCCATAGCAATTCACGGATTCCCTCTGAGCATGCCGAGTCCCAGGGCACATATCTGTGAGCCGGTTCCCTGAGCGTAAGCAAGTATGATTTGGGCTTTTTACCTGGTGTTTTTGCAAGGATGCTTTTTACATGATGTTTTTGGAATGTATTTGTTAAACTGGAAAAAGGAGGCATAAAAAAGATTACATTTCTGTGTAGGTTTTTACACCCTTCAACCTGTTTTTGCATCCTGGTTATTTTACAAACAAGTTTAAAAGGATAACATCGTTTTTTTTCCTCCCCTGTATGTGTGATTTTATTTTACATGCTTGTGCATGAAATTATTGTCTTGCTATTTCTTACAATGTGGTTTGTTCCAGACTCTGTTCTTTGTTGAATTTTTCATTTAATTGCCCTTACAATGAACTAACGAGAAAAAAGTCCTGATGACAAATAACATAAAGAAACATTGCCAACTGGGAATTGTACGTCCTGGAGCAGATACATAAATCACAGTGTGGTTACTTTTGTAGCCATTGTCCAATGGAAATGTGACTCCACTTTCATGTTATACTTTCTCTTATCTTGCAGGAGCTGGGATATTGTGTGTTTTTTCTTTCTTTTTCTTTAATGAAGATATAAGGGTGTAGCATGGCAATAGTCCAGACTGGAACTACAGTGTCAATCTGTAATGTGTTTTTTGCAGCCTGCTAATTGTAATGTGGGGAGTTGTACAGGAAACTCACATTTACAAGAGGTGGGGGAAAGCCAGCTAGACTGGTCTGTTCAGGGCACTGCTGTTAATGTGAGTCAGGGACAGAGAGAGAGAGAGAAGGGGAGAGAAGAGAGAGAACATTAACCACAGACAATAGTATTTCCTTCCCGGAGCTCTGTGGGTCAGACAAGACCCATTCCGCTGTCTTTTATTCAATAATAAATCCATACTATGGAAAATGAGAAACACGAGTGATTGCTTTCTTACTCCTTCTCCGGACTGCGCTTGTCATTGCCCTCTCCTCTTTAGCTTAGCCACCCCCCCCCCCCCAGGCCCCCTTCCCTCCGCCCGACACTGCCAGAGGGAAGGGGGGGGGGTTTGAGTCAGGCACTCGGGGTTGTCCCTGCTCACTGGAGCACCCCCGGACCTCCGATGGGGCGCCGCTCGGCTGCGGAGGAACCTGCGCGAAATTAAATTCTCCAGTTGGCTGGCTGGGGCGAGTGGCCCTCGCTCCGCCGGCCTGCTCCTTCATTACTCCCCGAGCCCATAACTGACTGCGCTGGATGTCTTGTCTGTTTAATGCCAGCTCAGCTGCTTCAGGAGAGGAACGGGCTTGTCAGTCTCCACCAGAACACTCTGTATAACCATCTCCACTTCATTTGTTTCGCTCTGATTTCACTCGCTCGCTCGCCTCCCTCGCCCGCCCGCCTCGCTCGCCTCCTCTTCCCGAAGACACGCGCCATTTTCACTGCCAGCGATTCTCCCCTCTCCTGCCTCGTCTTTCTCTCTATGGGGGGAGGATATATTTCAGAACAGGAAAGGAGGGTTATTCCAAAATTTAAAAAAAAGGGATCTTAAAATACTAACAAAAGGCACACACCTTTTTTATTTACCTGTACACGGAATTTGTATGAGGGCTCTGTTTCATGCTGTGACTGTGAGAACTTTCACAAACACGATTATAGGAAAAATTAAAATGAAAAATTAATTGTTACGGAAATTAGCAATTTTTATCATTTTCAGCCTGAAAAATGAATTAGTGCATCTGGTAATCAATAGTTTGTCCATAATTTAATGCACCTTTAATGCACTATTATTTTCTGTACACTTAGCAGAGAAGTGACATACATTGCTTGTTTCTTTAGATATTATTAATTTATTCAGATGGATATTGATGGAAGAATTCAAGGTAAGTATCTGCAGGGCTTAAAGTCACTGTAGCAGTGCCCCACCTGGTAATCCTGAAGCCTGAAGCCCTCTGGTGACAAGAAAAGTTCCACAAAGCCATGATGTCATCCCATTCCCCATCTCTAAACCAATCAGAGTTACTTAAGCATTATGACTTCACAAAGGCCCCTTCTCTCTAAACAAACTGGTTCTAGAACAACAGAGCTAATATGCTAGTGTTAAATCTACATCTTCAGTATGTGGCTTAGTTGGGAAGAATGTACCTGAAAGTTAGTGGAGAAACTTTGAATAAACAACAGCGGCAAAAACCGCGGATTCCCGGAACCTGGCCAGGTTTGCGTGTCTTCAGCGTGTGAGTGGAGTGTGGGACAGCTCGTCTCTGTCTCGCCAGGCATTGAGTCCACGCTTTCTGCATGAGGAGGCCCCGTGATTGAGCCTCGCGGAACGGAAACGCGGGCAGCCTCCGGTCCTCAAAGACGCGGCTCGCGCTTGACCTCGCAGGCCCCCGGCGCGCACATCTCTGCGCGTCGCCGCCGAGGCGCTGCGGCTGTGTCATCCGCCCCCTTCAGAGGCACTCGAAAAATTGGAAATGAATGAATCCGTTCCCTTCCTGGAAAAGCAAATTACATTCAGTCACAGTGTCACACAGGAAGCTTTCAGAGCGCTAAGCCTTGTTGGCGACACTTACGGCAGGTGAAATCTTTCTAGAAGGAGGGAAATGTTGCCACCCCCAACACCCCCCAGAACGCTCCCTCCTTCTCCTTCTCATCCTCTTCATCCTCAGTCTGGTTTAATATTTAAATGGGCTTCTTCGAAACTCATTTGTGAAATTGGCACTGTAGAGATGTAATTTCGGTCCTCTTACACATCAAGGCTCAACACAGGGAGAGGTACAAAACATGTGTGACGTCCTTTTCCTGCACGTCTCTGACTTCCTGCGTAAAGGCATTGTGACATGATGTCATGCGGAGCATTTAAAGGGGAAGCGTTGGTTGGGGGGTTGGGGTTGATGCATTTGATAGTTTATTTTTAATTTGTGGCAAGATGGGAGAGAGATGGAGACGTCAAGGTAGCAGACGCGCCTCCTACAAGGCAGAATAGGAGCTAAATGACCGGGAAGGCAAACGCAAAGCAATATGAGGCGAAATAAAGTCAGCAGGAGTGCTGCAACAAAGGAGTGGAAGACATTCTTTAAGAGATAAAGTTCAAGATGGCTGCCTGACTCCTCCCCTCTCCCGCTTAAATTTTGGTGAAGGTCTGGCGAGACAGCTTCCTGAGAGATGCCAACGCTCCTCCTGGCTGGTTTTGTCTGTTTGGATCCATAAGCATTACATTACATTATTGTCATTTAGCAGACACTCTTATCCAGAGCGACTTGCATAGGTTACAATTTCACATGCTACCTATTTATACAAGGGCACAGCAGCAGTGTTGCACCGGGAATCGAACCAGCAACCTTTCGGTTGCAAGCCCTGCTCCTTACCACTATGCAACACTGCCACCCCTAAACAAGGGGGCTGCAGGGCGGGGGATGGAGGAGAATCCTGGGCAAATGAGCCGGACGTCATGCATCCCCCGGCCTCCCCCACCCCGTGCCCCCCTCCCCCGCCCTGTGTGGGAGCGGGGCCCAGCCGTGGCCTGGCTGTGCCGGGCGGTAATGGACGTAAAACAAAAACAAAGAAAAATGGTCATTTGGAGGCCATTAAGCAGCCTCCTCCCACTCCCTCTGTGTAACCACGCAGCCAATAGCGTCGTGAAACAAAGTGCTTTCCGATGTGACAATTGATTGCCTTTAGAGGCAGTTGTTGGTTGATTTCATAATTGGTATAATTTTTCACGAGTACATGAATGTCACACTGAGATGGGCTTTGCGACCGTGGTCCTAATGCAATGCCCCTCAGTTCAACCTGAGATCAATAATGTATTAAAACCAAGTGCTTATTAAAATAATAGGAAGCTACTGCCTGGCCGGGGTGGAAAGGCGAAGAAAAATGGCTGGAAAGGAGGCTTAGATGGAAGTCAGGCATCGTGCCCTCTTTGTTTGCACCACGACACTTTCCTCACAAATAACACCGCATATTACAGATGCAATCTGTAGCTCCAACTGCGGAGAGAGAGATGGAGAGAACGCCAAAAAACTGGGACACGGACCACACGTGTAATTTAGCCTTCAAAAGTTACATTTGTTGACCAGCTGTGAGACAGGTGGCAGTATAGCATGGTGGTAATGATCAGGGCTTGTAACCAAAGGGTTGCTTGTTCGATTCCCTACCAGGGCTCTGCTGTTGTACCCTTGGGCAAGATACTTAACCCTCAATTGCCTCAGTAAATATCCAGCTATATAAATGGATAACGTAAAAAAAAACTGTAACCTGTGTAAGTCTCTCTGGATAAGAGCGTCTGCTAAATGACAATAATGTAATGCGACGGACATATTAAAAGATAAAAGTTTGTTATAACCATAAACAGTTGCCGTGACTGCATATTAATGATTAGCTTATAGTGTCAGATGGATCAATAAATGGCAGGCAAACATATGGACCTGCCCTCTCCAGTGAACTCTAAGCACCAAAGTAGTGTTGTTGACACTGTGGCCCTCAGAGGCTTTTATCTAAATACGTTCAGATCACCGCTGCAGTGCTGGTGTTCAACTTTAGTAACTCCAGACAGCTGGTCTACAGTGGCATGTACAGCACAATATGAAAAGAGGAATTAATAAAAAGCAGATCTGCTCTGTTCTCTTTCCAATACGCTCAACAGGACAGAGCAGCGGGGCGCCATCGTTCTTACCAATAATTATGTATCATCTATCTCTTTAAATATCGAAGTTGCTGTGCGCCAGAGTCGGCCTCTGCAGAATGAGCAATCTCTTCCGCCTGCCGGTGAGTTCTGGACCAGACTGCTTCCTGTTTACGTGGCGTTTATGAGAGGAAAACAAATCGAGTGTCACCCCAATTACGGCTCAGGGAGGGCCCCTGTGTCTAGACGGGGGGGATATCTGCTTTAACACATTGATTGCGCGGGTAAATGAAATATTCCCCAATTTATTCGGAGCTCCTTCCTAATGCATCAAAGAAATAGCCTGCGTTCCAAAATGTTAATAATGTTTAAAGCCCCTGTAACATGAGAGACACCCGACAGGGTGAGGCACGGCCAGTGCGTATCGGTAATTCTGATTGGCTACTGAGTTTTAGCTGCTTAAAACATAGCAAGATGTGACTACAGGCAGGGCCCTTGCTTGTTGCATCATTTCTTAATCATCATAATTACATAATCTCATGTAGTGGTAAGTTTGGGGTCCTGAGGTAGGAATTAGGGACTGTTTCAAAACATTTGGGGGAAAAATTTCAGATCCAGCATGACATTCATTTTGGCCATATCCCGGTGTTAGCAGCGCGGCTCCTGTTTTTCGTCCAGCTATATCAGAATCCCACACGATGCCGGTATTCACCCTGATTGGCAGATTTGTGTCCATGTCTGGTTGATATGAATAATGTATGTTTTGTAACAGGTTTGACAGAGATTTAATTAGCAGGGAGCTAGCCTCAGTGCTGCGTTTGCTTTTTGTCCATCGGTCCGGCGCTTTGTTTTTGTGGGAGTGGTGAAGAGCAGTCATTGTTGAGATTGAAAATGATCCGCACCGTGCGGAGCGATGATGACAGTTTTGCGCCGCCGTTTGCCGTCCTCCACCCGCTCGTGGCTCTTGTTATTGTTTTCAGACTTGTGCTGCCAGCCAGTGAGATGAAGGATGCTGGGAGATGGAATTAAATCGAGAATAAGAAAAAAAAAAAAGCAGGTAGCAGGATACCTCAGAGGAGTCCCACTGCGCAGATAAGCAGGTGTAAGTACTCTTGACGTGGACATGACAAGTTACTACGGGTAAACCTCAGGACATGCGGTCCCATCGGACAGCGGATAGTGGACTGGATTCACGGGCCCTGCTCTACTTGTTTAACAGTACTTATACAGAACATTACCAGGGAAAAAAGGCGTTTTTACACCAACCCCCCCAACTCCACCCCCCACCCCCACCCTCCCCAAATCCTCCCCCCCTCCATCACCGGAGCCCTTTGATGTTTCCGTGTTCCTCTTTGACAGTCAACTTTGTTTTTGATCTGGGTTTGATTTGGCCTGACAGCCCCGATACATATTATTAAAGGGAAACAATCCCTCTGAAAGACGCTGGAAATCTCCAGCCTCTCGCTGTTGGAGGGATGGAGAACTGTGCCGACTGTGTGCCACACTCTCCCAGATCATCCAAAAAAAAAAAGCCAGTCGAGAACCATTTCATGAGTGAAATTAATTTGTAGAGTTTCTTCACAGAGGTCTCTGACAGCTGGATTTCTTTTGAAATTTTTGATTACAGTCCTAGCCAGGGATTTTGGCAGAGAAAAGAGAGAAGTGAAGTGTTTTGTGTCTTTTTTTTCTTGTTTTATTCTTGCGGCGTATCAGAGAGAACAGATAGATGCTGTATTTTGAATTCAGCACATTAAAAAAAGCACAACATCGAAAACAAATCAGATCAAATCAAAGGGAAGACTGGACTGAAGCTGTATGTTTATTTTCATGGTTCAATAACCATGAAAATGACACGCAAGGCATATATGGGGAGTGTTGGTTGGATATCAAAAACATATTCATTCAACTCAGTTTAATATCTCTGACATAAAACAGGCAGAGGAAAAATGTATGACTAAAAGCTTTAGCAGGTTTAAAGCCTTAACCATAATTTGTGATATTTAAATTCATGATAGACCGTCGGTGCGTTCTGTTAGTTAACATAAGTTAGTCCATTTTATGTGTTGTAAGTTTTATCTGAAATTTATGCCTGCAATTCAACATTTCAATTTTAAGTACATTCCAACAAAATTGAAGGCATTCCTCCTCCTGAAAAAGTCACCCGACTCAAGCCCCATCATGAACCACGATCATAATATTTCCACATTGATCACCATGCTAATGTTTCTACTACCACTTCTACTGGGCCTATGATAATGGATTCAGCCCATTCAGACTAATAACGTTATTATAATGTATGGAACCTATCCTTCAGCCCAAAGATGGCGCGTTGATTGTAACTCCAGTGCTGAGGTCGGCAATTGAAATATCCGAGCTCATCTTGTCTGCTTGCTCCTCGAGGATGATCTGATCATGAATATATATTGCATTAGCCGTACAGGAAGACATTTTGACATTTAGAGCCAAAGCACTTAACCCTGATCCCTCCTGATGGCGGTGTTTCTGTATGCTCGCTGGATGTATCTCACAGCAGGAAGTGAACGTTTAGCCTTAAAGGGGCATGTGGGTGACACTAAGGAGGGCGAAAGAGTAGAGGTGGTGCAGGACCCCGAATTTTATCAGGGTGTCACAGTTTGGGACAGCCTAAGAAAATGCGCCATCCAATGGGTGCAGGTCCTGGCGGATCACATGACTCGCATAGAGCAAGGCGGCACGAGTCGCAATAACAGCAGTGTGTATGGTCAGCGGATGGCAGCCCCCCCACCCCCACCCCCACACATTACCACATGCAAATGAAACGGGTTTACATGTTTAATATTTAGTGGCGGCATAAATGTCAGGCCAGCGCGGGAGGGAATTAAACAGCACTGTCAGAGGGAGTGAACTCCCAGCTTTCTCCGCTATTCTGCTTCATATCGAGTTACTGTCACAATTTGTTTCACAGCGGAGCGAAGACTAGTGTGAAAATTCTCTCTGATGCCTTTAAGGAAGGCCAGGAAGTCAAGGAGCACTGTGTGTGTGTGTGTGTGTGTGTGTGCGTGTGTGTGTGTGTGTGTTGTGCGTGTGTATGTGTGGGGTGGAGGGGATGAGAGATTCGGAAGTGGCTCTTTATTTATAGAACGCTTTAGTTTGACTAATCCCGGTGATCCTCGGCTCGTAACAAATGTGTCACCCACACCACGCCAACAATGGGCCCTCGTTCACAGACGTGCGCCGCCGCCGGAATTTAGGTCAGATGGCTTTGCATGATGGGAGCACCAGAGCCACGTGTGGCACTAAGCCATGCTCCTCCTCTGCTACCCCGAGCGCGCAGTGAGAATTTATTCATTCCAAAGCACCCTCAAACACGTGATTATTTCTCGAGGAAACGACGCCGTTTTGCCCTCTGTGGAAATTTCCAGAACACATCCCCCCATCACCACCACCACCACCCTTTTTTTTTATCGTCTCCCCAACTCCGCCACTTATTACGGCGGTCATTAGAAGTGCGGCTTCAGAAGGAGATTTGCCAGTGAAGTGCAGATGTGAGTTCCTGCACATAGCAATCAGTGAGTGGTGTTCTGTGGGGACTCAATTACAGGGACCGGACCGGAGAACATTAGAGGGGGGATACAGCTGGATCCTTGCACCACGCCTCAGCTCTCCCTCATGGGTGTTTCTTTTTTGTGTTTCCTGGGCAGGAGGGCATTATGATTATAATATTTTCTTTGGTGATAGCTCTGCTTGTTTTCGGGGCTCTGGGATTCCAGTTAAGTA